ACACAGCGTCGCGAAAGTTTGACATACCTGCCTGGCCTGTGCGATGAAAGATTACTCAAGATTGGAAAAGTTTCAGTCACAGCAAGTGATGTAAGAAATGTACAAAAAAAAATTGATTTCGTCCAAGAGAGCGAAATTCCAAAACGCTGAAAAATTTATCAATCAACATCAGCAAGTGTACAAAAACTCGTGATCTTTTAAATACGCTAATATTATGATACCTGCAAAAAGGCCCAGCGTATTTCCAGCGAGTTTCTTGCGGCCTACATTTTGTGCTGTGATTGGAACTTTTCTCCTCAAGTAAACCCACAACATATGTCGAGCGACTGGCCTGTATGTATCTTTCATGTAAGGAAACACAAAACGACTTCTAGTCTTGCTGCTGAGTGATTTGGCAGAAAAAACAACTCTGACCATTTGGAACTGGTCTGTTAAAACCTTGCCCCCAGGAGCTCTTCCTCTCTTTCTTGACTTTTCTTTGCCCAAATTTTTTTCTCGCCCTTTTAGACTTTTCCCCGCCCCCACTAACTGCCCCTGGGTCTCCGAGGATGAATTTGAGTAAACAGCTTGAAAACATACAATATGCTTTTGCAAGTGGAAAAACAAAATTATGAAGTTGAAATTTAAAAAAATCAATTACTTTTCTAAATTATTCTCCTGAAGCTATCATTCGTTTGATTCAAAAGGCATTGCTTATTTCTAAAACAAAACAAAAATTTCACCCGATCGCTCACAATAACTTACTGGCAACGCTGTACACACTAAAATTAGACCTAAGTGAGTAAACCAATCAAATGGGAGCATTGGTCGCCTGTTGGGATTTGTGATTGACAGGCTGAACACCTCAGCCTCAATAGCCTTGCTCTGTGTTTAAACATAAATTATGTTACACTGATCAAAAAAATTCCGTGAGAGCTTTTTTTTCTGTTTTTCCTGTTTTTAGCAATGTTGACTGATATATGCCAACCTTTTTGTGACTTGTATTGACCCCTTTTTGTAGTATCCTTTGCAATTTACAACATCTACATCACAGTTACGAAACATGCTTTCAAATGATTGGGAACAATCCTAGAACACAAAATTAATGAACCACACTAATTCTCCAAACTATACTAGCAAACTTGTTCATTCTCTGATGCATTTTCGAGAACTACTGTACACTACATGTGCATATTTCAAGTTCGATTGACCCAAACTCTCTGACCTAGGTATGAACTTGAGTATAAGTGATACAAATTTTGGTCAAAGATGATGGAGTCAGAAGTAAAAGAAAGGCCAATGCTTGTCATAGGCAGTTACAGCCTGCGGCACAGGCGTCAATGGGTTAAGCCAACATCATAGCCATCAAACAGTAAAGTTCGTGTTTACATATAGGACTAAAATTTTCACTTCAGTATGAAACAACCAAGGGATGAATGCTTACAAAATAAATACATGTATGGTATTGATGGTATGTATTTACAAGTCTTCACAGGCCATCTAGTCCATCAGCTGAGAGCCGAAAATTCGGGTTTATGGCTCACTTGAGGGGAACAGCTAAAACATGTCTTATCTTAATCTTTGACTATTAGGCATCATAAAAATGCATGATAGCAAGGAAAGAACAGTAACTTTCACTTTGTAAATCGAATTATAAATTTCGCCCCACATACCCTTCTTTTGCTGCCATCTTGGATTTTGGGGGAAAGCTCCAAAGTGGTTTGTATTCCTTTAATGTGAACGAATCATGTTTCGAATGCAAATTTTAAACGTACCGGAACTACAAACATGATGTCCATTTGTTCTAGTGCTTGAATTATGAGTACATGATGTCATGAGTGACGTCACAACGCCTGATTATTGGTCACAATATGATCATTTTACACTTATAATTATTGCAAAAACATTGTGGGGTACAGTTCTCAAAATTATTTCATGAAAAGAGGGCAAGAAGATAAAATATTAAATTGCAAGTTTGTTGAAACAAAGCCCTCAAATTCATTTGCTGTTTCCTACATCCAGCCACAGTTCCCAAACATACGGTCTCACAAACAAAAGTGTGAAAGTGCAGCATGATCTGATCAATGATGGATGAATGCACTGTATGCGGTTGTTAGGGTCCTACATGTTGTAGGTTAGCCCAGGAAGCTTCTTCATGAGTATTTGGCTACTACTTCATCACAGACCTACATCCATAAGGGAGATGGCTCCAGTAGCATCAAAGAAGACACAAAGCTGTGGCAAAGCTGGTGGATCAGCTCAAGGATGTTATCACCTTGCTATGGAAACAAGATGCAGCATTAACGAGCTTGTCCAGGCCGGGGTATCAAAGTGACAACAGAAGTAAGTGATGACTTATTGCAGGCCAAGCGAGCAAGGTGAAGAAGACAGTGAATGACTTTGTAACGACCGTTGCTCATCTAATCGCACCGGCTTCAGATTACTTAGATCCATCGAAGAAAGCCAAGCGGAAGTCTTGGATCTGTAGGCTGTGCGTAAGGTTCGCAACTAGGATTTGGTACATCCTCCTCATGTGAATCGTGATGTATTTGCTCTGATGGCACTTGTCGGATAGTTTCTTCCACTTCCTTGGTCTCTTTCCCATCCTTGTGGACTCCCGTGAAAAACAACTGCGCAAAGCCAAACTCTCCTAACAGCTAGAGTGATGCATCACAGTTACCAAGAAATTTCCGAGAATACAACCAGTGTTTTCAGTATACCTGGAATGGTGGTCTTGCAGAAGTTGAATATCGCGCCCTCTGGAGGTATGTCTCATGTGGTCGCTAAGAGAGTGTTTGAGTTGGTAATGGGCACCGGCAAAAGGTACGTGGACATAGTGTTCAACATGTATCACGAGGTGTCGATCAAAAATGTTGAAAGATTTTAAGGAGTGTCTACCTCTGACGGTGAACAGTACAAGAACATACTTCCTGCCTATACTGCGATAGACTACGAGTAGTCCCTCTTTCGCTTAGTCCGTGGTGTGTGATGCAAGAGAAAACCGTGAGAAAAAATGGCCGTGCAAACTCCTGGGGACGCCATTTTTACGCGGCCATTTTTCCTCACAGTTTATTTATGGTCTACGGTCTACGGCCTCGCTCGACGGACTAAGCAAAAGGGGGGCTACTTGTAACCTAAAACTGCAAAGTCAGGGAACAAGTTTTTCAGTGTCACCACAAACAAGCCTGACATTGCCAATTCCCTCGTGTCACAGTGGAAGAAAGAAGCATTCTGAGGAAGGCTCAGTGATCGGATCATGTACGTGAGTACCGAAGATCAGTGCTAGAGACACAGCCACATGCAAACCAGCTCCTGAGATAGGGTGTAATCACAAAGAGGCCAATATGAGTATGGTTCTCCATGCTTGGTGCGTGGGAGGCAGGTGCGTCATCCACTCTGACACTGATATCTTTGTCCTACTACTTGCTCAAAGCCAAAACCTTCGAATGTGCTACATGAAGAATGGAAGAGGTGGAAAGACCAGAATGATGAAATTTCTTTAGTTATCAACGGCTGCATTGACAAGCACTACTTCATGAAAGTCCTAATTGGCGTACACACGATCACAGGTTGACACTCTCCGGGAAGCAGTTCAGCTTCTAATTCTCCAATACAGGTGTGGCGAGAATTGGGAAGGAGTGAACAGTATCCGAAGAGATACTGGAGGAGGCACTCGTGTGACAGCTGTAAGGGAAGGAGTGCCAGAGTATCGATGCACTGCGCTATGAAGTCCACTACGCCAGAGGCTTTGCAGCTATGCCATCTCTATGAAGTCGCATTACAAGAGCAAATTATCAAGCAGCAATCTGGAGGGGGAGCCGTCACCACAGAGAAGACAGTTGAAATACAACGCCAGTAGCCGAGTATTTTTGACAATTTTTGAGGTGTTTGGAAAGGTGCTCAAACAGATTCTTGAGTGTTTTATAGAACTTCTCGATTGGAACTAAAACTAAGAAGAAACAGAAAAATAAACTCGTAGAAATATCTGCTAAAACAATCAGATATCCAAACAACGTCACGGTCATAATTTACCGTATTTAGGCTTGATGAATTGTTTGTGAGTTTGAGAAGCTATAGATCCAAATGCAAGTGACAGCAGTGACAAAGGGCATTATACGATCGGGGCGCTTCTGTACTCAACCGAGCTCTAAATTGAAGTGTGAACCTAGTTACATGTGTATACATGGAGTTATGGTATATCGGTTCATGGCATAGTGTGCTTAATTAACTTAATGTAGAAAAGGTGTTTTTCTAGTACTGTGATGTGGAGCACCTTATTGGTAATTTAGTTACTTCAGATGGTTTAAAATAGAGGTTGAATACACAAACTGAAAAAAAAAAATGGCGGCCACTGTAACGTAATTTATGACGTCATCATAGCTTGAACAACCACAGACAATATTGAAATAGTGTCTAAGATACTAATTACTCCAAATACACGTCCAGGCAAAATATCATGTGCCTCTAAGAAAAGAAATATAGGAAAATAACACTTTTTAATGCTTTTTTTTTAGAATTCCAAGATGGCAACCAAAAGGAGGGTATTGGGGGTAAATTTAAAATTCCATCTACAAAGTGAAAGCTACCGTTCTATCCTTGCTATCATGCATTTTAACGATACTTAATAGTCAAGGATTAGGAACATACAACTTTCATTTGTTCCCCATAAGTGAGCCATACAACCACCTCAGCTGATAGACTAATCTGAAAATCAGGGATATTTTATATCTTTAATACATGTATTGAAAGCCATAGCATTGCTGAAAATGAGAGATCGAGTTTTACACCAACATGCATCTGATCAGTGTACATTTATCACAGAAAGCAATCTCAAACAAAACTGAGATGATTTTTAATTTATAGATTTAGTTTTATTGTCAATCCTACTTTGAATGAAATTTGCAAAAGATTGATTTGTTTCCAAACTTCCCTTAAGGCTTACAGCTGGATGCCAGAGTGAGAGAAGTACGAAAGTGCAGTAAATTTAACTTGTGACATTGTTTTTGGTATGTTTTACTTGC